TTCCTGCATAATTCAAGATTTTGTCCATAGAATCCTTCAATATTTCAACTTGAGTTTTGAGTATTACTCTAGTTGGCTCTGATAGCCTTTTTAGCTCTGGCATGGTCCATAGGGAGTTGCATTACTAACCCAAAGGTCACACTTCTCTTGTGGTTGGAATCTACCATTGATCCTGAGGGAGAAAGAGGGGCAATCTCCTTCTATGCAATTTACAGTCTTGGAAACCCAATGAAGCACCAGTTGAGTTGATTCCAAATAAATGGCATTGAGAACAACCAAAAAAATATGAATAACTTAAAAATAACAAAAGAACCCTCTTTGTATTCTTTTCATTTAGAGAACAAGCTCAGCATTAATTCAAGCAGTCAAATCCAAGAGCTCTCTGTCTCCAGCACTCAAATAGATTGCAGCATCTTGTCTCAGGCCACAGGAAATGTGCAGTTAGCAATTATTTGGTCCTTTCCCTCTGTTTCCACTTGTGCATCCTGGTCAAAGATCCCGGAAATGAACCAAACCAATGTTGTAAAATATGGGGATGAATTTCACACCTCAAGAAGCATGCAAAAATTTCATACTAAGAAAGTTTCCCAGAACTTGTTTCAGCTGCACATTCAGAATGTGGATAATGGAGATTAGGGCCGATACCGCCGTACTGTAGAAGAATGGCTTTTGCTGACAAATGGCACTTTGCAGAAACTTGGAGAAAAGAAGTCAGGTTCTACAGAATTGAAACTCATCCCCACAACTAAACTTGGGAATGTATGTCCCCACATTTGTCTATAGGATTTCCATCCTCCGTTAAGGATATTTTCTAAGAAGGGATTACATGGTAGAAAAAACATGACCTAAAGAGAGTCATAGGAAAGCTGTGTACCAGAGTCATGACTGTAAGACTTGGTAACATAGCAAAAGAGAGGTTATTACTTCAGGTAAACCAATCTGAGGCTTGAGGGAGCTAGGATGAAAGGAAGATCCCTTTGGTTGCTTTGCTTCTCAGTCTGACAGCTTAGTCTCTGCAGCTACCCATAGTTCCATATCCCCAGATCTCTATAATCACAAGTTGAGTCATTGCAGTGGGGCTCTAGTGTAATTTGGCAGGGAAAGAATACTATAAGGCATATTTCTCCCACTGTGAACAGAAACTGTACAACTCTATAGGGATTTGTGGAAAAATTGCTTTTCAAGCTTTGGCTGCCTAAACATAAGGCAAATAAAAGTAGTTAACTGTTGGAACGGTTTACTGAAGAAATGTCCTCTTCCTCTCGAGATCTTTAAAGGTGTAACAGAAGTTCCATGCGTTGGCCTAAGAGTATTGTAGTCAAAATGTGGGAGCCTTGGTTAGACCACTTAGTGTTAACTTAGGTCACCCTCAAGGTTGATGACAATGAATACCCCTGTGAAGGTACAGGAATTGGCTGAAATCCAACAGCACGATGCAAATAGGTTGATCTCTTTTTCTACTTAATGTAACATCAAAAAACAAGTTACAATTGAACATCACTATGTATTACAAACCAGAAATCAAAGCCAAGCCCTTTGCTGTTGGCTGCATTTTAGCACACAGAATAAATCCTCTAGGAAAAAATTGAAATTGCCTACTGAATTTCCAAGTCTGAAATCTTTATGGTAGCAGAATGGTTCCACTTTCACCTGTGGATCAGCTGGCAGGTCCAGGTTTCTGATCTTTCAGTAAGCTGAAGAGCAGTTAACCATTGCACAACCAGGGTTCCTTGACTATGTATGAGGCACTGGCAATACAAAGATGTATAAGATATAGTTCTTGCCCTTAAAGACCTCAGTCTGTTGGGAGGCTCAGGTGCAAACAAATAGCTTAGGATGATGCTATATTTCTGCACTCTGCTCCCCTTCTTTATTATCTTCAGGTTCCTTTTTCCTCTACCTGCTAAACTTGAGTGTTTCTTGGAGATAGATATAAGACCTAATTTTCTTTTTGTTTTGTTTTTTTTCTCATTAATTTTAATGAACGTTTACAGAGATTTTGGATTTCCGTTCATTCATTGTTGCATTTTTCTCCTTGCCCACCCCTCCCCCAGTTTGCTCTTCTCTTTGAAAAGTAAAAGAAAAATTCGTTCTTTAGTATACAATTCCCACTCCACCCCCGCCCCAAGTAGACTCCACTATGCAACCTTCATTCTGCACTCTTGTCATAACCATAATACCCAATCATATATTGCTTTTAAACAGTTATCTCCCTCACTTGTTTCAAAGAAGTATAACTGATTTTTCCAATTTTTCTCACTCTTACCCCAACTGTGATGTTAGTCCCGTTCTATAATAGTGGCATTATGCAGTATTTGTCCTTTTGTGACTGAGATATTTCCCTCAGCATAATGTCTCCAAGGTCACCTATTTTGAATAATATTGCATGAGTTCCCTGTTTTTCAATGCAGCATAGTATTCCATTGTGTGATTATACCAGAGCTTGTCTATCCATTCTTTGTTGATGGGCACTTAGATTGTTTCCAACACCTTGCTATTGTGAACAAAGCCGCAATAAACATGGGTGTGCATATATCTTCCTGGGTGACAGTTATGGTTTCTTTAGTGTATATTCCCAGTAATGGAATTTCTGGGTCAAATGGTATTTCTATTTACAACTTTTTGAGAAAGCACCATACAGCCTTCTATAGTGGTTGCACCATTTTACACTCCCACCAAGAGTAAATAAGAGTTTCCGTTTCTCCACGATCTCGCCAGCATTTGATTTTGCTGGTCTTTTAAATTTTGCTATTCTGACTAGGGTGAGATGATATCTCATAGTTGTTTTGATTTGCATCCCTCTTAGAGCTAAGGATTTTGAACATTTCTTCATGTATTTATTGGCCATCTGAATGTCTTTGGCAAGAGAAGGAAATAAGAGGTATTAAAATTGGTAAAGAGGAGGTAAAATTCTCTATGCAGATGATAAGACAGTATACTTGGAAAATCCTAAAGATTCAGCAAGAGAACTACTGGATATAGTGGACCAATTCGGCAAAGGGGCAGGATACAAGATCAACATACAAATATCAATGGGATTGATTTCTCTACAGTGACAAAGAAAATACAGAACTGGAGCTAAGAAAAACAATACCCTTCACAATAGCAAATCACAAGATTAAGTACTTGGGAGTAAACCTAACGAGAAACACAAAAGATATATTCAAAGAAAATTACAAAACATTACTTCAAAAAACAAAAAGAGACCTGGACAAGTGGAAGAATATCCCTTGCTCATGGATAGGAAGACTCAGTATTGTGAAAATGGCAATACAACCAAAGGCAATTTACACCTTCAACACAATCCCAATACAAATACCAATTCCATTCTTCAATGAGATGGAAAAGGCAATCTGCAATTTCATTTGGAGAGGCCTTATTTTCTTCTATTATTTTATATTACAATTATCTAAGTTTCACAAAAATCTATAGAAAGGTTTTGTTTTGATTCACTCATTGTTGTACATTCCCCCCTCCTTCTTTCCCCATGCTCCCCCCCAGTCTACTTGATTGTTGTTGTTATGTGCCATTGAGTCGCTTGTGACTCATAGTGACCCTATGTACAACAGCCCTAAACACTGGTCTATCCTGTGTCAGTCGCACTGCCTCTGACACACCCATGCCGATTACCCCAGTCAATCCACCTCATAGAGGGTCTTCCCCTCTTGCGCCATCCCTCTACCCTCCCAAGCATAATGTCCCTCTCCAAGGACCTCTCCCTCCTTACAACATGTCCGAAGTATGTCAGATGAAGCCCCAGAATCCTTGCCTGCAAGGAGCACCCTGGTTTAACCCTCTCCAGGATTAACCTGTTTGTTTTCTTGGCAGTCCATGGTACATTCAATATTCTTCAACACCACAGCTCAAAGGCATCAATTCTCCTTCTATCCTCCTTAGTCATTGTCCAACTCTCTGATGCATAACAAGTGATTGCAAAGAC